CATATCAAAATGGTTCCGTATAGACCACAGGCTAACATAGCAGAAAGAGTTAATAAAAACATAGTAAAAATAATTCGCAGTTACGTGAGCACACATCACAAGCGCTGGTGATGGCTACATAAATGAATTAGCTTATGCTTTAGAAACGGCAACATCATGATACTACGGGAAAAACTCCAGCAGAATTATTTTTTAGGCAGAAAGTTAATTACGCCTTTAGATAAATTATTCTTTGTGCAACAAAGAGAGCAGGAGTTTAAACAAAAAGATGTGCAAAAGCTGATTGATCAGGCGCTTAAAACCTCGGATACGGCAAGAAATAGGCAGAAACTTTATTATGATAGAAAACGCCGTGAAGCAGATTTTAAAGTTGGGGATAAAGTATTGAAGCGGAAATTTTCTTTATCAAGTGCCCCAGACAATTTTATGGCAAAGCTAGCTCCAAGTTTGAAGGCCCCTATGTAATTCAGGAAATCAAAGGGTAGTAGTATATATCTTAAGAACGAGAGAGGGGAAATCTGTAAAGCAAGTCCCGACCAGGTGAAAAAATACTATAATCCAAATGATTTTGAAATCCTTAAAAGTTTCTTGCAGGACTCAAGTCTAAAAACGAATAGAAGGTTCAAAGACTACAACAACTATTCCACCACCCAAGAAACAGAGAACTGAAGAGAGACCTAGCACTTCTACAACCCGGACTTCGGTATCAAAAGGAAAAAATGATTTTCAAACTCCAGCGTTTAAGAAAAACAAAAATACAGATGAACCGGGTAAAGAAACCGTGGTAAAGAGAAAAACACCACCTACAAAGGATAGCAGGAGAAATTACACATCAAGGAAAACGCGCACACGGCCACAGAGTCAGGTGCCAGCAAGGCCGCCGTTCTGGAAACTGAAACGCCAACAAAAGGCACAAAAATACGACGAACAGAAGAAATTCAAGAACGACTCCAGACCGGAGGACGTCAAGACCAGCCGTCCCAGGGAGCCAAACGGAAAAGGACAACAACCAGACGATTACTCCGCCAAGAGGCCAGCATGTACAAAGGGACGCAAAAAGGAAAGTCAACCATGGACGAACACTCGAAGAGCCCAAAAGCGAGAAGATTTGACATCCATGAACTCTCTAACTTGGGATCAATTTTGCCAAAAGACGGATGACGGAGTTTCAAGCATCGAAAACTCAAAGATAAGTTAAAACCTTCTATAAATTTTTTTTCCTTTGTTCCGAAATGTTATGCGTAAAGTACGAAGTTCTATGTTTTGACGAAAGTCAATATGTCTCGGTTGAGACTTAGTTTTTGTTTTACTTTATTTAGCTAAGGTAAAAGTATTATTTTCTTTAAGTGTAAAAGCTAAAAACAAGCATTTTCTGTTGGTCAAAAGACTAATTCTGTTATGTTAAAGCCAAAATTTGGCCGAAGATAAAATAACTTCGTATTCTTGTATTAATAAGAATTTTTACTTTCAGTGCCGCCAGCTTGGCGAAGAATGAGTAAAGTAAAAATTTATTTTCTCTTATTCATTTTATGGAAATTGTAAAAAGCATATGTATTAAAATTTTGTAAATGTATGTAAATACTTAAATGTTATGTAAAAGTAGAATTTAGTCTAGAAGCATAAAATTGTAGATGCTAAAAGTGAATGCTTAAAAGCAATGAAGTCAAATTTAAGTAGTAAATGTAGATAAAGTCATGCTTTAGAGCGAAAGCCTGCATGTTTAAAGACGAATGAGGGGGAAGTTAGAATGAATGTGTTTTGTAGGGTTCTCCACCTACATTTGAATTTTTAAGAATATTAAAGTAGCTCATTGAGTTGTAGAATGTCGAGTAAGGTGTGTCTATTTGGTCGTTGAATTCTAACAAATCATGGTGGTTAGGGGAAGTGTTGTAAGACTAAAACACGAATATTCCCGTTTGACACCACACACGGTGGAGAGCCAGGGTAAAGTTAAATTAATGCTTGAAAAATTGAATGAATGTGAAGTAAGCAATAACTAAGAAAAACGAATCGTTTAAAAACAAAAATTTATTGTGTCAAGAAAGTGTACATTATAATGTATTTAGAAGATACTGATACTTATTCCTTCCAGATGCTGGAAGGAAAGACCAAGATTGATTGATGAAGTCCAGGAAAAGTTGCTGTAAGAAGAAAGTTATAACGAGCAACAGAATTTTAGTATATAATTGTTACATAAGATTTTTTTTGTGTAAACGAGGTTCTCGCCAGTTAGTTCAGAATTAGAGAAACTTACAACAGGTCGTTTGTAGGACCTGCTTCCAAGTTTTCCAAATTCTGGCAGCGGCAAATGTAGGGTTTATATTTATTTTAACTAACATTTATTTTAAGTTCTATCTTTCCTGTCAAGCCTTACTTTCCCCTGGAACTGCCAATGCCAGAATATGTAAATTTGAGTAGAACGCGCAAGCATTCAAATTATCAGCGGAAGTAGTATGATTTAATTAGAAGGAAACAAGTTCGGTGAGAGAGTTATTCTTACTTAGCGAGCGCGGAGGTAGAAATCGAGAATTGAAGCACCCCGCGTTGCGGCCTATGTGCTTGGCGGGAAGTAGTTGCAATTGTTCCAGTGAGCCTCAAGTCTGCTGAATTAGCAGAGATATTGTAAAACGCGGTGAGTTTAGTTTATTTTAGAGAGCCTCGTAGTTAGAATCTTGTCTTTACTTTCTTTTTCAGGTTATTATTTTTGTTTGACTGCCTAGTTGGCACAGTTTGTAAGCGTCAAGAGGACGCAGTTGTAATTTAGTACGTTGAATAAAAAGGGACTTAAACCCTTCACAAGGCTCTATCTTTTATACAAGTTTTCACAGTCACCTCTTGGTTGCGTGCAAGTTGGAGGCGCGCAACGTTATAAACTGATACTATAGCTCCGCACAGGTTTTCTCGCTGGTGTTTAAATACATTATTAATAGGGGGACAGGAAAGTAATGTCGCTTTCTTACATTAAATTCAAACGAATACATTTTTAACAAGTTTTTATTTTTAATCAATAATATAATCACCCTCGTTATTAACAACCTTTGTCATCTAATGTGCAGAGTTTCAATCCCGGACCGATAAAAATCAATTGGTTTTGGAGTAAAATATCTCGAGAGGACATTTTGGACATCATCCAAATTTTCAAATTTTTTGCCACTAAGAAAATGTTGTAGGGATCCGAAAGATGGAAATTCAATGCTGCGATATCGGCCGAGTATGGTGGGTGAGTATGGCAGTACCTCTCACCCCAAGTCATTAATTTTTTCCAGTGTTCGTCTTGCACAGTGCGGTCTTGCATTGTCGTGTTGCAGAATGACGCCTTTTCTGTTGACAATTGATATTTTTCTATTAAAGATTAGTGCACTCCATCCAATTGTTCACAATAAAGGTCTGCATTAACAGTTTGTCCAGGTTTCAGCAATTCAAAATTAATAATTCCGCGAATACTCCATCAAACACACAGGAGCGCCTTTTCGGGATGTAAACCCTTTGTAACCCCTATTAAAACTGCTTTTTGAGTTTTTGATTATAAGACTTATTTTTTTGTCTAATCAAACGATCAAACGTTCGACTAATCAAACGATTAAAAAACGGTTCTGTATGGTGCTGTTGAAGCAATACGTTGCATGTGATGGATAGGTTGGCTTTGTTCTTTTCGGACAAATTATGGGGGACTCGAAACACCTCTTTGCTTACTTTTCCTTCTGCTTTAAATGTTCTTGGAGGTCGACCAAGGTGGTTAGAGTGTTTGACATGGATTTGCTTCCACTTCTGCCCTTAGCATGTTGTTGTCGACATGCGCAGAAACGACATTACTTTCCGGTCCTCCTATTATAATTCAAAATTATTTAAAATACTAAATTCTCCATTTTGGGTTCGTTATAATGATGATGACATATTTGCTCTGTTTGATGGAATTAAAGGAGATTTAAATTCCCCGAGTTATAAATTCAATAGATCATGCAGTTCAATTCGTAAGGAATTATCGCAATCCCCAGCGTGTTTTCTCTTTTGTAGCAAGGGGGTTAGCACGTGCATCTAGAACAAGGAAGATCACTGGCTCGAAACCCGGTGACGGCACAATTGATTTTCATGTTTTCTGCTTCGCAAAGAACATAACGGTGCACAAAATTTCTTTTTTAAGACTCTGTTCCTTGACACGCAAAGAGGCTATTTCAGCGCCGCTCTGTATTAGAAACCTTATGCAGTCTACTTTTCATCTCATGCGAAAGCGTGTCATTAAAAAACCGTGTCATCGTAGTCTCTACAGAAAATTGGCTTCATTTTGGTCATCTTTTCTGCACACTCAGATTTTCAGATTTTGCTCCTTTAAGTCAGCTCTGTATTGGGAGCTCGATGTTTAACAGCGACTACAAGTGGTTAAAATTTTCATCTCTTAACCAGAATAATAATAAAATAATAATAAAAATAATAATAAATAAATAATAATAAATAAATAAATAAAAATAAAAAAATAAAAGCCATCTTTTAGTTTCGAATGATCATAGCAAATTAGTGGCTGTTTCATCTCTTCCTAGGATATGATACAAAACTTCACATATTTTTTATATGTTTAACTAGTGTATCATTTTAGTTCTAAAATTAAATTAGTAGGTGAGTTCTTTGAAATCACTATTCCTAGCATGTATTCCTGTGGTATCTTGTGAAAGTTTTACGCATAGCAATTACGCCACACTGGCAGTGGCGTAATTTGAGTGGTCAAACAATCTGATGTGATCTGTGGCTGATGTGAGTTGGTCAAACAATCTGAAGGCCTAAATTTAGCATGTAATTGATACTTTTAATTTACTGTTTAATTAAAAAAATTAGTTGTAATATTTTACTTAAGGCAGGCAGGTTTTGTGAAAAAAAGCTTTTATATATGCTGTAAACAGGTGTTCTCATATAACATATTTCAGTGTAGTCTGTAGTAAATGAAATATTATATAAATTTGCGAAGAGGATTATAACATAAGATTTTTTTTCCTGTGTTTTTTACTTACATGTACATTTCTCTCAGTTCGTCAACCCGATTCTTGTCCATAATTTCGTAAAGATCTTCCCATGTGTTTACTTCTGATAAACCGCAAAATTGACGCCATCTTGTATAAGAAGGTAAACCGTGATCCCTTCCTCTCTGAATTGATATTGCAGTTAAATCATAACCATGATCCTCATAATAAAGCTGTAACAATCTGCCGCGTACCTGAAAATAATGAATGTAGTTGTACAAGGCTATTTCTATTAGCATATTAGTATTATTCTATAGCCTCGAGTAAACAATGCATTTTGTTTTATTACCTGTCATCTGTAAAATATTACTGTATTATAAATATGGTGTTATAATTGCAATAAAAACATTACTGATAGATTTTTATATAATTAGAAGGCTATAAAACTTATTAATATAATAAATATAAAACAATAACAAAACACCGATACTATATAAAAAAGTATAAGTAAACGTTCAATAACTTTACTTCTGTTGTAGTGTAAGGTTGTACTTGATGTGTTCTTTGCGACGCCATACCCCGTATAACGTCATCTATTCCACCTTTGTAAAGAATGCTTGGATTCATATAAGTTTTGTGTAGAGGAATTTTACTTCGCAGTTCATAGCCTGGACCTCTGAGCTCCAGGATACCCTAAAAGTAATAATCAGAATTTAAAATGATATTAAGAATAAATAAGACTCGCATAGGGGTAAATGTAGGAAAAAGACATTTTTTAAATAATTTTAGTATATCACGGACAAAATTTCAACCAAATAATTTCTAATTTGAAATATATTTAAATTTTCGTTCAGATCTAGCGAATATTTTCAAAATGAAAAAAATATTTGTTTCAGGAAGAAGCTATATATTTTGAAGTACACAATATAAATTAGAGGGATGGGCAGATGGGAACAATTTATATGAAATAGCTATGCAATTATTCGCGTTTGTTCTGTGCTTAAGTTGTAAAATTTCAATCTTCTTCACGATTCAAAGCCGGTATCTCCAATCTGAAAATTAAGTGTGTAGAGATATTAGGTATTTTTTTAAAGCAGGAAAAATGAAAAATGTGCTATACCCTCTCCGGGACTCGAACCACGGACTTCTCGAATACCCGTCGAGCGTGCTGACCACTACACCACGAAGGCATGCTAAGAAGGCGGGAGAAATACCTTATATACCCCCCTTTTAAAGGGCAACTGGGAAAAAGAACCCAATCGCCAAATCCTGATGGTGGGGAATCATCTTCCACCACCTTTTTTTATTTCGAGCGCCACTGTAGAGACATTAGGTAGGTATGTTTTTTAAATCGGGAAAGAAGAAAAATGTGCAGTGTCCTCGCCGGAACTCGAACTACGGACCTCTCGAATACGCGTTTAGCGTGCTGACTTCTACACCACGAAGGCATGCTAAGAAGGCAGGAGAAATACTTTATAAGCGTTTTCATAACATATATTATTCGTAAATATTTCGTTTGCCTTGAAATTATTATTTGTTACATACTTCTGTTAAGCCAAAAGTGTTACCTACCTGTAACACAAGTTGGGTCAATTGTTAATTTTGTGTTTGAATAAAAGTGTCTTATACACCCTTCTTCTGATCTCCGTTTAGTTTCACAAAGGCTCGAAGGTAATTCTTCAAAAGTCCTTTTAAAAGTTTTTGATCCCAAAACACCATAAACTTTATACACTGATAATCTTATTTCGGACTTAACCTTAATAAAGCAGTAGCCCTTGCATATTTCCAAACAGTAGCCTTTTTTCCCCTATTCAATAGAAAAATCAACTGATTCTTCCGGGTACATCGGTGCGACTTTTAGTTAGGGAAAGGATAAATTGCTACAACTGCAGTTTTTAAAGTACTTACGCTCAGACGTTTTATATGATTTTTTTAATGAAGAGATGGCATCTGCTGAAGTACCTTTCTCAATTATTACATTTCTTAAACATCAGATGACAATTCTTAGACGATATTTAGTTCGGTTTATTTGATTATGAGAAAGCAAGTGAGTGCTACCTGCTTAAGGGACGGAATGCCTTCGTGGATGAATTTCTAACGGAAACTAGATTGTACAAATTTTGCGCAAGAGGGAAAATATGAAACGACTATGCTTTTTCATTATTCAACGACCATTGTACGTGACCTAGGTCGAATTCCAGAGCTTTGCAATTTTATTGTTCGATGGGCTGTTATAGACAAGGAGTTCCCGCAACAACTATTGGTTCACCTGATGACATACACTGGTGTGCAAAAATTAAGGACGAAGTCGAAAAATTAGCATATCAGCTGAACGAAGAGGCAGAGCGTACAGAAAGACCAATCAGGAGATTAAGTAAGGTGATGTACGGTAGCACATGCGCAGATATGCAAGTACACGTAATGGGGGAGTGTCTGAGTAGTATAAAGCATGTTGTCGGTGTAAGATCAGTATTTCTGACAAAGAGATTGCACGCCGTATAGCAGTTAAAATCACACCGAGTTGCTGCCTCAGTGAGGAATGGCGAATAATCAATCTGTTAGACGACATCAGGATGCTTTTACCCGAGGTCGAATCATTGAGAATTTGGAGGAAGGCCGCAGTGTGACAAGTGTGGCTGCAGAGTTCGGAATTGCTCACAGCATCGTTTCACGACATTGGAGACAATTTCAAACTACAGGTACAGCTATCCGGGGGTTTAGTAGTGGTCGTCCACGAGGAACCGCCCGCAGATGACCGGTATATTGCCTTACAGGCCAGAAGAAACGGGCGGCAGACAGCGGAGAAAACGCTAGACACAGGACACAGGCGACTGGACGACCGATATCGCGTTTTACCGTGGCCAGAAGACTGCACGGTGGTGGTCTGTTTGCACGACGCCCTGTACGGTGTGTACCTCTAACGCCTGCCCTTCGGAGAAGGCGTTCTCTGTGGTGCCGGGAACACCGGAATTGGAGAGACAATGAATGGGGACGAGTACTCTTTACAGATGAGAGCAGATTCAGTCTGAGTAGCGATTCTCATCGCATACTCATCTGGAGAGAGCGGGGAAGCCGCAATCATCCCTCGAACATCATTGAAAGGGACAGGTATGGAGGTGGCGGTGTTCTCGTTGGGGAGGCATCATGCTTGGTAGTCGTACAGACCTTCACATCTTCGACGCAGGTTCAGTCAACGGGACCCGTTATTGTAACGAGATTCTTTCTTCCATATGTGCGTCTTTTTAGAGGCGCTATGGGTCCGCAGTTCCTTTTCATGGACGACAATGCACCATGTCATCGCACAGTAGCTGCCGAACAGCTCTTAGAGAGTGAGGTTTGAACGTATGGATTGGCCGGCACGATCTCCGGATCTCAATCCCATCGAGCATGTATGGGATTTCTAGGCAGACGCTTGGCACTCGTACTTACCACCAGTAACGATTCCGGAGCTTCGATTGGTGCTGCAAGACGAATGGGCAGCAATGCCTCAACAACTCATTGACACCCTCATTCTCATCATGTGAAACCTGCCTAGCAGTCAGAGGAGATCATCCCCTATTAAAGACCGGATGTTTCTTGTTGGACCCCATCACAGGGATGTTTCGGCCTTCAGTCGCATTGCGCTCCATGCTACGTTTTTCAAAAGCTTCTTTTTATCCCTCTGATTTCTCTTTAGTAAGTGTTGCTTTCATTACTCATGTCCTTACGTATTGGGGATCTTACGGTATTAAATGTGTTGATTTGGAAAGCTTTTGTACAAAGTTATATTAAAAAAAACCGTCTCGTCCTTAATTTTTGCACACCAGTGTATATTACCTTGGAAGTACTGCTGAATGACTGCAGGAAATAAAATACATTCATAGCAAAATGTAATTATGCTAGTAATGGCTGATAGAATTTCAATAAATTTAATAACTTTTAAAAGATAGGGATGCAACTTTAGCAAAGAAAACTAAATTTCGTGCTTGAACTGGAGGACTAAATACGTTCAATTAATCAAATAAGATACATGAAATGTATCACTTTTAAAACAGGATTTTCAGAACCTTGCTAATGTTATGGGAGATGACGCCATTTTATAAAATTTCAACGTAAATGGTATGTGAAGTGTTTAAACATGTTTTTAATGCTAATAGTTTTTTATAGGATATAATATTTGAGAATTCTACTAATGCTTGTTAATTCAAGAAGATTTATAAATTTTATTGGATGATCTGTTCAAGAATATTATTAACGACTTTGAGAAATTCCTAATTCTGTTAGTATGAAATTTCTTTGCATCTTTGCATATGCATATACTTAGTTATCAGTTGCAAGTACGGAACGTATATTGGATGAATATCGTGCCAAATCCAACAACAATTGTAAGAAAATATCTTTAATTGTTTTTCTAAATTACATGTCAAATATAGAATACCAAATAGTCGTAAAAAGGTATATAAATGATAAAATAGAAAACTTACCTGAACGAGGGTATGCCCGAATCTGAAAGCAGCTGATGAGAATACGTTATATATACCTGCGTCAATAGTTTCGTCATATCCATCATAAGGTTCATTTTCTTTTATACGTAAATCATATTCCTCCATCTTACTATTTCCTGAAATATATTACCAATGATTGAGAATGAAAGTAACGATTTTATATTTTAGTGCACAGATGGCTTATATAATACATATTTTTATACATTTTTCATCTTTTTTATCTTTTATTTATATATTTCTTATATTTATTTATATATTTCTTATATCTTTATATATTTCTTATATTTATTTATATTTCTTATATCTTTTATATATTTCTTATATTATTATATATTTCTTATCTATTTATAATTTCTTATATCTATTTATATATTTTCTTATATTTATTTATATATTTCTTATATCTATTATATATTTCTTATATCTATTTATATATTTCTTATTTCTATTTATATATTTCTTATATTTATTATATATTTCTTGTATTTTTTTTTAACTTAAACTTTTAAATGTGTCCAATCGTTGACAAGAAAAAAATCCCATACAACTGAAAATCCATAGTTAAGATGATTCAGGATGCAAAGTAGAGCTACTTTGGATCTTTTGTGTTATAAGACAACATGTGCTGAACAATATTTTTAAAAGTGATATAGGGTAATTTTTCAAGATTAGACTTAAGAAACCATTTTTAAGCAGGTATATACGACTACACACCTTTCGCCTTGAGAAGCATGTCGATAGTAAAGGAGATCCTAGAAATGCTCATCACCACCTACTAGATATCGTCGATTGCGATACTCCACGGGGTCTGTTACCAAGCTAAGCAGAGTATGCATGAGATGTCTCCATTGATCAGTCATTTCCTGGTGATATCAAAATTTTCCCTTTCAGTTCCATGATGACATCAAAACTTTCTCTGTGCCCTATGCTCTTTTGACGCAAATTTCATGCATATATGTTTCCTAACTTGTTGAATATTAGTACTCTTTTTTAATCTAGCACAAATTAAATCACTGTATATATGTACCAGCATTAACGATTGACTACCGTTAAATTAAACGTAGTTCTTATCTCTTATAACAATGTTTTTGTTTTCAAATTCAGTACTGCAATAAAAAGCTTTTGAATTGCTTCATTCTGTTTTGGTCTTTGTTGGTTTTTGTTTATTAAAATAGCTAATCTAAGAGAGAGATTCAAGTATAAGAAATTATATTTACAACATTTTTACCAGAATTGAAATGTTACCGATTTTTCGAAAAGCTTAAATTGCCCCGAAGCTTCTCCTTCTTGAAGATAGATCACAATCCCAACCAGAGCGAACCAGATCCTTAAATAAGACGAGCTCCGACACATTTTGTTTTCATAAAAACACACAATTTCGGCAGAAAATGTGTGCTTCTGAATGAATGCTTTTCTTTCCTTCGGAAACAAATCATTAATAAAAGTTAAGACACTGAAAGAAAGGAAAAACCCTCCCCCACATGTCGATACATACCTTTCAAGAAGACCATTATATTTACGAAAGCTCGTGTTTGAAAACAATTTCCTAATTAATTTACAAGTAAATTTCCCGTTCCCAAAAGTGGAGGTGATCACCCTGATCGTGTTGTCGTTTTCTCTGATTCTGTAATGGCGAATTCATAAAGGGGAAGCATCGTTTATGTTCGCAAATGCCAACGAGCTTTAAATAGTGAGATACTAAGACCAACTGCTCAGGCACGTCCAAAACTATCATCTCCTAACAGAAACAGACTCTTAACAGAACAGGATCTTTCGGATCAAGGTAACCAACTATGAGGGACGAAAATGCTCATTACACGATTTTGCGTTTGTTCTCACTTCGCAAATCAAGCTTAGGACTTGGAAGTATGTTTTTTCTTTACACACATTCATCTTGATGGATATGATTACATCGGCAGGGAATGCGGCCAAAGAGTGATTCCTTTTGTGTCTTTGTATTCGAACGCACAATTCTTCGTTAAAATTTTGGTTCATGTTCTCCCACTCTCTCTAGCATTACCTTTATTCTCATTAGTAACGCTTTAAAAGTTTTACGATTTTCATCAGTGTTGCTGAAAAAAAGAATGGTTTGTATTTCTGAAATTTACGTAAATTGTATATTATATTAGCTTTCTGCTTACAGCTTACATTCAGCGAGAGCCTATGAGGGTCTGAATAACTTCTTAATTTCTGATCGAAACTGTAATTTCAGCTGGGACCCAAATAAAAAGAATTGGTATTTTACTTTATTATTTAACATTTTAACAATTTTTAATTAAGAATTTTTATTTTTTACTTTATTTAGTTTTAATGTTTCGTTTATTAATATTTCTTCATCTTTTTTGATGGCCTTCCTTAAAGCTCAGCCACGTCTATTTTTAGAAATTAAACCCTGTGTTGCCGTAGACACCTGTGTCACCCCAGACAAAATCCTTTGTCAAGTGTTGTAAAATAACGAAAAATATACCTATTTTTTAAATAGCGAGAGCCGAAACGTTTCCAAGCGGTTAAAGCACGAAATACTGGTCATTCGTTCCAATTCCATTCACAGAGGTTGAACGAACTGGTTGCATGAGATTTCCTTAATTTTCCTTGCGTATTACGGGTCAGTGTCTGTTAATAAGCAACTAAAACTGCCTAAAGTAGCTAATGAAAATGCTCGCCGCTTATTACTAAATTTCTGCCACATATTTTCTGGAGATATATCTTATATTTAGGACAGCAAATTTATCGTGATAGGAACATCTGCAATTCTTTTCTCGAATTTCAGGAGATATTTTAAGATTTTGCGACTAACAGATAATTTTTCAAATGTGGAATACATAAAATTTCCTTTCCTTCCCTATTATTTTATAACTTTTAGGTTACCTCTAAGTTAGATTATTTTTACTTTTAAATCATTTTTGTGCTATTTTCCTGTAGAATTCCCGCAAAAGTACACAGCAAACTAATCATATCTCAAAACAACTAGAACTTTAAGTTACATTAATATCCAATGAACTTCTGATACAATAGAAAAAATCGCTTTTCTAAGTTACAGTCTTCTTCCGTTGTCTGTCAGTGCGAGAAACAATTCTGGTACCGACAAATATTTTCTTTTGAAGTGCAACTTAATAAAGAATTTCAGTATATAGTTATAATTTAAGGTATGAAAACATCGTCCAAAAATGGTATATTTACTCCAAAATTTCGATGCTTAATGCATTTCGAGAACTTGATTAATTTATACGTTTGCAGTTAAAAAATGTGTAGCATAATGTTTACCTAGTTGCATACTATTTATTTGTACTTCTGCTTAATTTATAATAGACATCCCCTTCTATAAAATATTGACATAAATATAGACCACAAAAATTTTTTCGAAAATATTAATGCAAGTATAGGCCACGAACATACAATGCAAGTATAGGCCATAAATATAGGCCACGAACGTTTTGCGAATTTTCACTGCTTACTCTGCGGCCGGTCCACGAACTTAACTTTTCTTTACTGGCGAAAAAATTAATGCAGTTATAATTAATAAAAGGTTGGCTTATAATTAATTTTGCTACTTCAGTTCTAATTAATCCTAATTTTAAAATAGAAGATAAGCAGTGCGAAATTTAGTTCGACCTTGGTTCAAATGCCGGAAAATGAGTTGGCTGTATGGGGGTTTTTGTGCTTTTACCCCCACCGTGTGCGTGAATACGAGTCAGTTTCTTAGTTGTTTTACCGCTCAGACGTTTGCGAGCATGTTAAACATTTAAAATATTTTAGATTTCTCATTACTTCTCGGTATCTGTTCTTTAAATGCTCTTATAAGCTTTCATCTCTCATATTTACCGAAGACAAATGCTAAATTTGTTTCGCTCAGTGAGTTACAAAAATCTTTTTCATATTAATTATTTGTTATAGAGTAATTTTCTTGATCAAATAGGAAACAAAGTTAATTTTGCAATCACGCTTCCAAAAGGCTGAAATCCACTCATTGCAAGTGCTGCAAATTTATTAGCAATGTATCAGAATTAGATGAGAATGTTATCCCTGGATCCAACACCGGCCGAGCGGTAAAAGCCGCTGAACGCTACTAGTTCGGTCCGGGCTTCAAGTTCCAGCGAACGGGAAGGCTACACGGATGTTTTCGTGGTTTTCGCCATGTGTAACATGGATACCAGCCAGTTTCTCCCAAAACGTCCTCCACGGGGCATACACCCCCCTTACCGTATAGTGCGTATTGTTAGAGTACGTAATAAATAAATAAATAAAATGTTATTCTTGGAAAAAAAAATTTATTTCGGTAATTCCACCGCAGAACGGCAAACAAGAAATTTCTATCGGTGATTCCGCCGCAGAACATTAATTTAAGTGCTTCTTCTTACAAAGTTAAATGCGAAAGAACATTTTGCTTTCACATGCATTATATGTTAAAGAGAAAACATGCAAGAAAGATGCTCAAAGGTTTAACATAATATAACAATAAACTTTCTGTGCAATTACCAAGTATTGTTGGCAAAAACTCTCTATAAGCAATCAGTTGAAATTCCGCTACAGCAATTCTTCTTGCCTCTTGAAATAATTTTTCATCGGGCCAAGCAGGATTCAATCTTTGCAGTTCGTCAGCTAAACGATTGTGCTCACGAAGCCATATTGTATGCATAGTCGTTAGTTCCAGATGCATATTGACTCGGATGTCTCCTGGAATGAGAAATTATTGCGCGTAATTTATAAAAGTGACACTGATACATTTTTTATCTTAAGAACTATGTGGGAAAAAATGTTTCTTTCTCTTATAATACTGTTCTTCAGCTTGAATCAAGACATGCAGAAGGATAGTTAAAAATAATTTCATTATACCACGTGACTAAAAAATAATTTTTCCAAGATGATTAAGATCATGATACATAGTATTTTTCTCATACACATAAGTTCATGTGTATATCAATATAAATCACTAACTCTGACAATTTTTTTTTAATTTTTATAATTTTCGGCTTTTGAGTTTTCTAAAATTTGTAATCTATCATCTTTACACATGGCTTTAGTAACTAGCCAGATCTTGCTGTTGTAGGAATCGAGAAAGCATGACAGAAATATTCAGCAATTAATTAGTATGATTAATGGATGAGGCCTTATGTAATTATTTTCCGTATTCACTAATTAAAAAGTTAGAAGAATTACTGAAAATCGAGAGGTATTATTATATTTATTATAGACATGCTTATTTTTGAGATCAGGCAAAATTAATCGGCCTACGCTCTCAATAAGCAGATCGAGAATCATAACAATTTTTCAGCTACAAAGTATTGGTGGCAAAATATGATCCTCTTCTGGCAGCTCCTATTTCTTAATTGGAAAACAAATCTGAAATCCAAAACAAGAATCAAATTATTAGAATAACAAGGAAAGCTTAAAATAAAGACCGCTACAGACTTGTTATATAATATGTTTCTGAAGTATATAACTCAAGGAAACATTAATCATGAACGTTTTCAAGTAAAATGTTATTCTATTCAAATTGATTTAAGACAGGTTCATCACCTTTCAGGCAGCTTTGTATTATTCGATTTGAAGGCGTAACTGTGAATGACAGCTTTCAGCTGTGTCAATTAATGACGATGCAAGACAGTGACTTTTTGATTTATTTACCGAAGCATTACAACGTCTAAAAACTGATCCCAATCATTTGATAGTACAGATACATGTCAGCATGTATATTGGCTTAGATAATAAAATTACTTATATAACTGATTAATACCCCCTCGTTTGCATTTGTTCCACGCCCATGACATGACTGAAATATTGCTTATCTCCTGTTTCATTTTTCAGTTTCCTCCTAAAATTAACACTTTTTTTTTGTGAAAATATCACAAATCAGGTAATAAAGGTATGAAAAATTATTCTGGATACGTGGTCACGCTGGCATTCGTGATAATGAATTGTTTGACTCGTTTGTGAATCTTCAATTCTTTTGAATGATATGGTTATTACCAAGGCCTTTTCAGAGAGAATTATCAACAGTTTGTTTAGGAAAGAATTCGAACAAAAATGTTACAAGAAGCATAAGGAAAAGAACGTGTATAAAGTGTTAAAACGAAATTTCAGAATATCTGTTATGATCAGATTTTTACTTGATTGAGGTTATTATATTAGAGGACGCGAAAAGTTTCCACAATATGTAAGTCATTATTTAATAATTACTACATGATAACAATATAGAAAACTAAATGAAGAGGCAGATATTAATCACTGATTTTGGGAATGTCCAGTCGTACTGGCATTTAGATTAATGTTCTTCACTAAAATCTTTTTTAAAGCAATAAAATATTATTTACAACTCCAAAATATTATACTAGTATACAAAGATTAATGAAGTTCATTACTTAAGGTAGACCATATTGTCACATTTGTTTCATGCTGAAGGGTATTAACCCCTAACCTTATTTTACTGCAAAGTGTTTTACAAAGTGTGTCTTAAAAAGTTTTCCTAGCTTATGGTATGCAATCCTTTTTATTGTAAATTGTCCATTTTTGTGTGTGTTGATGTGTAATTTTATAGTGAAAAGATTAATCTTAAATGTTATTCTTGTTTTGGTATAAATATCTAATTTGACACATTGGTGACGCCAATGCAATTTTTTCCAGTGGAGAATTCTTCTCATACTTCTTGACCAAATGGCTTTTCGTCTTGCTTTCGTAACTGGAATGCTAGATTTTAGAGGCACGGACTTTAGTGTTTCTGAGTTAGTTATCCCTTAGCTTAGGGCAAATAAGATTCTGCCATCCATTTTAAAGTAATGTCTGCAGAAGATTCACGTCGTGGAAACGCTGCAGCCCCAAGACCCTCATCAAAGCACTTGCTTGCAGGTGTTTGATGAGACAACATAGGTATGAAACATTTTACGGCCAGAAGAGCGTATTTTGCTCTAGACGGAGCTACATAGCGGATACTGCAAGTCCAAATACTGTGCATGAACAACCTCTGCGCTATGTCGGTTTATTGCTGACTTTATAAGGTATTTCTCCCGCCTTCTTAGCATGCCTTCGTGTACAGTGGTTAGCACACTCGCCGCGTATTCGAGAGGTCCCTGGTTGGAGTCCCGGCGAGAGCATTGCTCATTTTCCATCTCTCCTGCTTAGAAATAACCTAGTGTCTCTACACTGGCGCCCGAACTAAAAAAGGTGATAGATGATGATTCTCCACCACCAGGATTTGGCGATTGGGTCCCTTGATCCCAAGATTTCCTTTAAAAGAGGAAGTATATAAGGTATTTCTCCCGTCTTCTTAGCATGCTTTCGTAGTCACTCTCGGCGCGTATTCAAGAGGTCCTTGGTTCGAGTCCCGGCATGGGCATTGCTTATTTTTCATCTCTCCTGCTTCGAAATAGCCTAATGTCTCTACAAATTCATTCTTGGCCCTTTTTTCATCGAAAAGAGTACTTTTCTAGATCCTAAAAGGTGTGCACTCACAGGTGACCGTTATTGCGAACTTTGCAGCAGCAATGATTTGCAGCAGCAAATCATTGCTGCTGCAAAGTTCTGCTGCTGCAAATCATTGCTGCCTTAAGAAATGTTTGGTGACTACTGTCTCCATGCAAGAAATGCAACACTCCATATTAGCGAACTATTGAAAATAATTGCTTTGCCGTGCATTTACAAATACCTGGCATCCTCGCTCTCCGGGTTTACGTCCTTGCGACTTCTGGTTGTGGAGCTTCTTGGAAGATTATGTATCTGGAAGAACCATACTGACTCTGGCTAATTTGAAATTAAGCATAAAACGCCATGTTGTCGCAGTTCCTCAAGAAACCTTTCGTTGCTGTCAAACATATTATAATGCGCTTTGAATATGCTATTGATACAAATGGAATGCGCATTGAACATCTGATAAACTAACGTTTTAGATTTCCAGTTTGTGTTTCTTGTTCTTTATGTTCCATCGTTTCACCTGGTGTTTGAAATTTGAACTGTTATTTCAGTTTTCTCTCTCTTTTTTTCCCATGATCCATATAATGTTTATACCAAGTTTCAACGAAATACGTCAATCAGAATGGATTCTACATAGATCTGAGTAGGGTCACTTTAATTATAATTTGTTTGGAAGTTTTGATAACGCAGCTGGCATTAATTTTATGAATCTATTCGTATACGTATAAATGATCAAATGTTCAGACAAGTTTCATGCAGTACCAAAACATGAAAACAATGTTTTACATAAAAAATTTCTAAAACTGGAAGCAATATTGTCAGCACCTATGTACTTGCATGCATCTGAAATTACATAGCAATTATCTATGTACAAGTAATTTAGGTTTGTTTACCATACCGAGTTTACTAGATTCAGCTGCAACATTGCTGAAAATGAATTTTTACAAATTTTAAATAATTGTCCCGATGAATAATAGGTAATGCGAGTCCAGTAGAAGCCATCGATGTAAGCATTACAGAATCATACGGCAACCTGCTTATAGAAATACTGTTCTTTCAACTGAATTAGGTAAAGAGGGTCTTTAAACACAGTCCCTGGTCGAACTTCGTAGTCAGGTTAACGAAAATCCCCTTGCAGCCAAAAATGGAACTCTGGAATTAACGGCTGGTATGTATGCTGCACATCCTCTTTTTTTCCTCACCCAACAGCGAAGACTCTCACTGTTCCTTTCTATCTGCTATTAAGCCTTCTATTTATTATTACTGTTAATATTACAACTTACTTTTAAGAGCAAAATAAATGGTTAGCCTTGTGAGAGCAAAGGAGGTCACCCGTTGGATACAATATGCATCATCCAAAAAAAGTGCCACCCTGCAGATTATCTTCAATAATATCATCATTTCAATAATAATGCATGGGACCCGCTGGAATGAATATTTTATAATTTACATTCCACGCTCAAAAAGAAAATCTTAGGACAGAATGGAAGAATGGATTAATCTCCGAGAGAAATAAAAATTATTACAAACTCGCACCAGTTCATAAGAATATGCAAATATATAATAATATTGATATAAACCAAATTATTACTGGTAATACTCGTTCCCGGCCTATTTAATTAGGCTTCTCCTGCAAGGTTCAAATTTAGATAAAGAATGTACTATTTTTGGAAATATCTCGAACTTCACTAAGTCATGTCCCTTAACGCAGAGAGCAAGGGATTTATGTCCTGATCTTAATAAAAATACAGTCTTAAAATCTTATAAAAAGGCTGTTGACTTCTCAGAAAAAAATTTTTAATAATTTTTAATAACAGGTATAAGAAAGGGATTACGGTATGAGTGGAAATCTTTGTCTTATCGATTTAGTCTAATACTAGTTGTTTTTAGTTCACATTATTTATTGATTTGTGTATATGTGTTCAAATCTAACGTATAATGGGGTTATCCCTTTGAATCTGTTTTATGTATTATTTTCGATTATTTACTTTTTTTGTTACTTACTTTCTGCGACCTAGTTTTTCCGAGTTATATATGAGTAATATGTAAGGAAGCATGGATGACCTTTGCTATTGTACATTACGTCCCCTTAACGAACTTACGGCTTAACATTGGTTTGGCTAGGTAGGTCAACGTCTGCATATTATTGAAAGATCTAATGACCCTGTTGATTTGGCTAGGTGAGCCTCAAATCAAACCATCGCACGTGTTTGAGTCTACGTAGATTTATGTGATTTATACTATTTAACTGTTACCTCTCCTAATAGCATTCACTGGCGTAAGAATGTAAAGACTGGCATCACAAGTTGTTGTTTTTCTTATGAAAGTTCCTGTCCCTTAGAAAATGTTTCTTTCTATTATTACTAGTCATGGACAATAAAGACCGTCAAACAAATGTTTTTCCCCAAATCTTAAAGTCTCCACTGAGCTGGAAACTTTCGATGTCTTGCAGATTATCAGAATGTAGCATAAATAATTTAAATAATATATCATTGCACTTTCATAAAATAAGTAAGTAAATGCATTATTATTTTTGAGTACAATTCCATTACGTAATAAATTATAATATATGATATTTACATGCTACCTTAGAGCACAGTGCTGAATGTAAAAAACCTCATGCACATGTTCCTTTCAAATTAAAAAAATTAATAAACGGCAAAAATTGCTTGGGACATCTAAAAGAAAGCTATAAAATGGGCAACTTACCAGCGGAAAAACATTTGTAAGGGAAATCCTTGGTGTAGCAGAATTTTCCGGAATTTTCATTGATAGGTAATAATGGAGTGTTTCCAATTATAGACGTACGAAGTTTTCCTGCAGATAAAAGCAGTATTCCTAACTTCAAAGTTTCATTAATAAAGTGATATGATACATAAAATTAAAATTTGATTACATATTTAAAAATTACCATAAGAAATCTCTGTTTCTGGAACTTTGATAAAATTATTTTTAAGTTATATTGAAATACAACATTAAATTTTAACTTTCTTTTTAAAACAAATACAAAAATTCATATTATAAATTTATTACTTTAAATAACATCTAGAGAACTCTTAAAATCCTAATTCCAAACCACCATATTTTAGGAAATCGCCGTATTTTCAAGAATTATACCATGCAAACACAGATTCACAAAGAGTATTTAAATTATACGTAAAAGCGACAAAAAACAAAAACAAAATAAATAAATAAATAAATAAATAAAAAAATAAATAAAAAAATAAAAACTGAAATTCCGTATGAGAGTAAAAATCTCAGACGTCGTTAAAATAATTACACAGAAAAGGAAAATTCTCCTTTTATACCAGGTGTAATTACAGTGTGTTATTGATCTCAGATGCAGTAACGCTAAAACTTGAAATTCTTTATCTCACGAAGATGAAATTTTTATGGGACCCATAAAAGAGGTGCTTTTTCTTTTTGTTTTAGTTGAGTGACAGTAATTTAGTTCATAAAATGTTTCCTCTATTTTTCAGACTCGAATGTGAATGCCATAGAACTTCCTCCCCTTAAAATTTCTTTAGCCTGAAATGAAATAATTTAGTAGCTAGAACTTTATCTTTAGGCTACAATATAAAAGTATAATATTGTACATTTTTCTGTAAGAAACCTAAAAGTGTGTCTAAGAGTGAATAAGTTCCTAGACCAAACACTCAAGACATATTTAATTATGCACTATTTTTAAAACATCCTGTTTTATAATCATTAAATCTATAAATCATCATAACTGTTACTGCTACTTTAAGTAATTAAATTATTAATTTCCAATGTTCGTATTCATGCTTTTCATCCAAATTTATTAATCATTCTTTTGGTTGATACTTAAATATAATTTTTCTTTTGGATCCACTGGAAATAAATTAGACTTACCTTTCTACATTTCTCCAGCTAAAGTTGTCAAAATTTTGTATTGTTGTTCATGAAATCATAAGTACTTTTATGTGTTATAAGATATAGAATATCATATGTAGTAAAAAATAATATAAAATGTTACCGCCACTAAAAACTCTAAGTCGATCACTCTCCTCAATAGTAGGCCCATATGTTGCAGAGCCATCAATGAAAGATGTCATGAGATTTCTTTGCTCTCTGAGTCCTAAGAAAAATAACGCATAAAAATCCCATTTTATAGAAATAAAGAAAGCATTCATAAAGTTCAGTGTAAAATTTTGTTCAGAATTTTGATCGTTCAATTAAACATCTGAGAAATCTTTTATGAATAAAGAAACTCTTTCATGTCAAGAAACTTTTATAAAACTATTTTAATGTTTACAAGTAATTAGTACAATTACGCATAAAAATATACATTTCAGCTATCTTTTATGTTTCAAGATTAAATAACTAAGCCTATTCGTCAAAAATATAACTAAGATTAAAGAAACTTTTCAAAACATGAAAGTTAAACAGTTTCGAAAGAGTTAACAGATATCTTTTCTGAAGCCGAGTGATTAAGATAGCTTAATACTGGTAGTTCGTCCGCGGGTTCGAATCTAGGCGAAGGTGACAGCTGCATGTTGGTTTTTAGGATTTTTTTCCCATATGTAACGTAAATACGAGTGACTGTTTTTCAAAAAGCCTTCAACGAAGGCCTCGTTCCTCTTCACCATATAGCCCTTCTGTATTTTGCTATATTCGAATAACCTAACCAAACTTAACCTAAACTCAGCAACATGAATGAGAAAGGGGTAAAAACATGATTTACACCGCTGTATCTAGGCATTCACTGTTAACATTATTGCAGAAGAAACGTCTGTCGAGATGCACTTAGTTTTTTTAATTTCGAAATGAACGCTAATAGGTTAAATATAGCAACTTAATAAGCTACAGTATTAATGCTAAACGACATCTTATCTAATAATCTAGTTTTTTTCAATTAAGAAACAGGTTCTAAAAATAAACTGCTTTTAACTGGCTTGTATACCCGAATAACTAGTTCTAAACTAATACATTAAAAATATCAGAGCTTGTAAAGTTTTCCTGGCTGAGATTAAATTTTCCTGTTCAACCACTTCGTTTTTATTCATTATTATCTCATATAGGAAAACATGTTCTCAAGGAAAACATGCCCGTGAAAGAAAATGCGTATGCCTTGCTTAATATTTAAAACTCATTCCTTTAGAATTTAAAATCATTCCTTTCCTTTCTTCCTTCTTCTAATTTATCTTCATTTCTTTGTATTAGTTGGTAAAATACAGTTCCCGTTTTTAATTTTCTGATTACAACAATACAGTAGCAATACTGTTTATAATTCCTTTTCCCCATTTTAAGTTATTCTAAAACAAGGCTTCTTAAACGTTTTTCAGTGGCAACACCTTTTTATCACTGAGATTTGTTTCGCGACCCCTGGACTCGTAATATTTAAGAAAATTTTGTGGGACCTCATAAGCATTTTGCAAATCCGACACACGAGTCAGTGAAACCGTCAATTTTTTCACTTGTACTGTAATATACTTTGCAGTTTTAGGTCATTAATTTCTAATTTTAAAACATAAAATAATGTGAAAATTTTAAATAAGTAACAAACGAAATGACAGCGTCCTGTGCAAAGCAAATAAAATGAACTTTTATATTATAAAAGAATGCGTCGAAACGTTTTCGTTTTTTCTTTGTCTGTATTGCCTTATCTTTATCTATTTTCAGATGCATTGTATAAAAACATTTGGTAATTGTAAAATTATTATAATGAGTTATAGAAATATCAAAACTGCCAAAATCGCCTGGTGTTGCAATTTTAATGGCCAGCAGTGTACGTCCAAATACAGAACAGCTGTTCAAGATTCTGCGGGTCCACCTTTCTCCACTACTGCAAGTAACAAAATTTAATTCTTAATTAACAAGGTAACGATTATTCAAAATCTAATAGCCTTGAATTATGGAAAATGAATGTGATATCTCATCTGTCAACTTAACACCAATATAAAATTAAATGAATTTTAATTAATTGCATTTTAAATATTAAAAAAATTACTCTTGAAAGGGATAAGAGCAAGGTTACCCGCAGTTCATTCTAATTTATAAAAGTAGTCCCCACTTGATAAACGTTTGAGAAAAGCTGCACTAGAGAAATAAATAAGTTAAGTATATTACTACCTAAAGGAGTTGAATCAGGGTCTTGGGCATGAAATATTTTCGAATTACGACGGTTATTATATAAACTCTAAACAGGTGACTTCTTCGAGGCCTTATCATCTCATCCTCGCTAGCCTTGCTTTGGTTTGGTTTATTTGATCATAGCAAAGCAAACGAGGGCTACTTGCGCAAGGGAAGGGATGCCTTCGTGTTTGACTTTTGAAGAGAAAATGGTTCGTATTCGTGTTATATACGGAGAAAACTACGAAAATGCTCATGTAATCAGCCTGCTCCCTGGTATTCGAACCCCGATCAAATTGCCAATGTTGAGCGACTTTACCACTAGGCCGCTGGTTGGGGGGCATTCTCGTTAGTTCTCCTAGGTAGATATGTAGAGAAATTAGGTATGGTATTGTTTTGGAAGCAGGCAAGATGAAAAATTAGCAAGGCCTTCGCCGGGAATCGAGCCACGGACCTCTGGAATACCGGCCCAGCGTGCAGAACCACTACACCACGAAGACACGCTAGGAAAGCGGAAGAAATACCTTATAGATAGCCCTCGCGTGTTTTTTCAAAATCATTTTAAACGAAACTCATTCTGGTATTTTTGTCAAATATTATTTCCAGCGTTAGCCCAGCGGAAAGATGACATTTAATGTGTGATTAATTCCAAGCTCATTTCGCTTTAAATCTACGTGCGTGTATTTAAAATGAAATAGGCATTAGTCCTGCGAACAAAAGTAAAAACAAACCACGATTTTAATTTCACAGTAGATCTTCGCCAGTTCTTTTGCTTGTACTTTATTTTTCCAGAGTGGAATAACATCTAGCCGCCAGTCAGTCTTCATGAGTAAAAGTAAAAGAGTAAAAGTACGAATTATAATGACTTCGAATAGCAATGGAAACCTGTTTTTTAATGGTATGTTACATAATTTCATATTCAAGGTTTTTTAATGGTATGTTACATAATTTCATATTCAAGATTAAAATAGCTTCCGTTGTCACGAATTCATCTCCAATTTTCACGATAACATTTTTGCTGTGAAAGCAGCTGTAAGATGCCACCTACTATGGCAACGTGAAATCACGCATCATTTTAATTAAAATGTGACCAGAAGGTCTGGATCGTGCGCAAAAGTCTAGTTTTTCCGTGTAGTGTCCCTTAATATATTCCACTAAAAATGCTTGTCATTTTATAAGTATTTTCAGATTTTGCAAATAAGGTGACATGAATATTGTTCCATATGGCCATGATGTTTTTGTGGAATCAGAAACTGCAAGTATTTAATAATCAAATAATTATTCTTTTATATATGTTTTTAAGAAACTCATTAAAACTTACAAAAGGATGAACAAAACATTTTTCTTAAACTTACAAAAAGACTGATTTGAAAAAAAATTCGTGGATTTTTGTTTCAGATGCGTTTCGTAATTAGAAAGTGGAGCAGTAAAATTAAATCACCTGAATATTGAAATCAGCTTTGAAAATATTGTGGAATGTGAACAAACACCTAGAGGAATATTTAACTTCCAAAAAAAAAGGAAATATTTTAACGAAGAATAATTAATTACCTGATAACAAATTATTCAGTGAAATATTTTATTTAGAAATATAAGAGATGACTCGGTGACCAAAGAATGGGACAAAAAATGTAACAAAAGCAAGAAACTTTACAAAGACACCGTAAAATTAGACATGCTTAATTTAAATCGTAATTTATTACGCTATTTTTTACAAAAAATATGATATAAACAAAAACACTGGATAAGGTTCGCAATTTCTTTCCAGTGGCGGGCACAAGTCATCATAAACATTATCCACTATTAAGGCCAGAACCTGCGGTTATTACGTGCCTCGCCCCTAGGCACCACACAGAAAGGAAGGAATGTCCGTTTAGGTCTTTTTAAGAGAGTCAGATAACCCTTGCATGCTTTATTTAAAAAACTTAAGCTCACTTATACGCCGAATTACAAATATATTCACATGCATAATTTTACATTTACATTTAGCCACTAAGTTTCAAACTTCTGACTTAAAACACGTTTTTGAATACATTCATTTTCAAATTCAGATTTTCTAGTAAATATATTTTGGCACAGCATTTAATATCTCTCTTAGCAATTTTACCCAATTTAATATTTCTTTGATAATACTACAAATAACAACTACCCATTTCATATGCAAACATTATACTCATTATCACTGTCAGAGTTAAATTAATCAGATCGAAATCTTGATTACTTTATTCTGTACATCAACATTGCTTCATTTTTTGAAACAGTGACTCTAAATTCACAAATACCTGAAATTTATATATTGCAAGGATATTCAGAACGCAACAATAAGCAAAATGTATTGATATACCAATTAATAGCATTGATGATGATTTTTTTCTTGAAACCTTTCTTGAAACTGTTTTAAAATTAGCAGACCACTACTCAATCTCAAAATTTATATTTTTCAATTACATAAAAATAAAATGATTAGTTTAAAATATGCAACTATTATCAATCGCTCCTAAAAATTGTTAAAAAGGACATATTACGATATTATGTGCATGACAAAAAATAATTTTTTATAAAATATTTTTATATTTAGAACATAAAATAAATGTTGCAAAGTAGTATACTATCAAGGGCATCGAAAGAAGTATATAAGCGTTATTTTTACACTTATAGGAGTCAATTCTAAGGAAATTGAGCTGTAAAGTGGGTTATATTTTTGCGGTATTTTGACACTTTAAAGGTACTTTAAGGTATTCATCCTTCTTTGCACACAAGATAAACATTTTGCTAAAACCTGTATTTTTGTAGTACAGTTGCTTAGAATTTTATAAAACAAATTTATAATCAAAATCGTTACTGCAAGTCATCAAAAGCTAACGAAGATGTGATTTGTGCGGAAACGCCACTAAATTATGCAAATTGTTATTACCCATCCAACAATGAATGTTTGTTTTATGTGGAAATGTGCCCTCTTCTTTATTTGTGCGGAACTGTCATTTGCGGAAATACTACCAAACGGCT